AACTACAACTCGTGGGATGCCTGCTTACAACACTGTAAAATTAACCAGAAAACATGCATAGCAAATATATTTACTGGATTAAATAGAAATCTAAACAACTTAGCTACGATTAATTTTATTCTATTTAAATGTTGCACACATTCTGTTAAATCACAGCATGTAATGTAACTCAAATAAAATACTACATGCCTATCCTAGAGACTTGCGAGGCACTTATTTGAAATTACACATGTTCATATACATTTTAGATAGGCATATACTATTTATGTATAAATATATGTGTAAGTATACATATACTCAGAAACTCATGTTTAATGTTATTCAATGGATTGTAAAGTGCTTAATTATTTCTTTTTCAAACAAACATATTTACGAATGCATATCATGAAGACTATTTCTTAACTTTTCATCACTCCATCATCGAAACTGATCTGGACTGAAAATTGTCAATTAAAAGGTGATTAATCGAGTAGAATTATATTTCAATTGAATTTCATATAATTCCAAAATTGATTTTGTGCTTTAATCGAAGTTCTGTGATTTTTTCATAGGACTACTTTTAAGAAGCTATTGTCATTCGAGTTGTCTCCCATCGCATAAACTAAACTCGCCGTAAAAAAAGTTGCTAGAGGACCATGGTGAGCTTATGACATACCGCAGCGTCCGTCGTCCGTCCGTCCGTCAACTTTTCCTTTAAAACGCTACTAGTCATGAACGACTGAGCAGATTTCGACCAAATTTGGTCAGAAGCATCCAATTTTGTATAAACAGTGGGTCTGTCCCCCCAGGGGCCTGAGGGGCGGGGCCCAAAAGGGGAAATATAGCAAGTTATTCTTTAAAATTCTTCTTCTGTAGGAATGAAAGGATTTGTTCCATATTTGGTCTGAAGCATCCTTGGGTGAAGGGGAACCAACTGTGTATAAACGGTGGGTGTGGTCCCCTGGGACCTGAGTGGTGGGGCCCAATAGGGGAAATAGAGGTAAAACCTTTATAATCCTACTTCTACCATAGGGATTAAGGGATATTATCCTAATTTAGACTGGAGCATTCTTTGGCAAAAGGGACCTAATTTCGTATAAATAGCGAGTGTGGCCCCCTGGAAACAACAAATTCCTCAATGGCAGGATTTTGTCAAAATTTGGTATGAAGCACCCTTGGATGAAGGGAAACCAATTTTGTATAAACGGTGTGTCTGACCCCCATAGCTAGAGACAGAGAGGCTGGCCCAATAGGGGAAATAGAGGTAAAAGTTTTTAAAAAATTCTTCTACCAAAGGGATTAAGGGATTGTATCCTAATTTCGTCTGGAGCATCCTTGGGTCAAGAGGACTCAATTTTGTATAATTGGTGGGTATGACCCCCTTAGGGCATAGGGATGGGGCTCTGTTTGAAGTTTGTTCTTGCTATAGCTCAAGTACTGGATGGATCTTTCTGAAATTTCATATGTACTTACAACACCTACCATGGAGTGCTTTACCTTTACTTCATACCAATTATTTTAAACACATTCAGGTGAGCAATACAGGCCCTCTGGGCCTCTTGTTTAAATCTTTGTCCTATTGTTTGATATAACATGTGTTCGAAGTTTGGATCAATGACACGTTCTATCATCTGACATATCGACGATATCATTCAGACAAAGCTCACTCAACCTGACAAAGAATTTCGATTTGAATATAAATTTGTAATATAACATAATTTTCGCCATGACTGTTTGTATAAATGTTTCATATACATTTGCCATCCTGTCAACACTTGGTGTGGCTTAGGGTAAAAGAAAAAATTTGAATTTTGATGTCTCATATTGGTCTGCACACGTATGTTACCGAGTAGTCATCTGTAACCACACGAATACTTGGTGTCACAAATCCGCTAACTCTTAAATACACATCTTGTTCTGAGAACAGGTCCGTGTACTTAAGTAGTAACTTTTGACCAATCGGCTGTAACGTCTAAAAGGTGTATCGGTATTGTCAGCTTCAGTTACACCTATTTGTTTTGGCTTAAATATCACTCTCGTCAGTCCAAGCGAGACTCTGATCTTCGACCAGATAATGTATACCGTTGATTATGTGACAGTAGTACTAGTATATGGGCTTTGAAATTATTATTTGACTAATAACGTGGCTACAATGACGTATTCTACGTTGTTTTTTTTAGCAAAGAACTTTTGCCATCTGTTTCGCTAATGTAGGTGTGAAGTACTATTGTATACTGTTTACCCGTCATATATACCCACTTCTCCCATTATATCAAGTTTTGCCCGGTGTGAATTTCACCCTTCAAATTTTATAACTGTGTATATGATGCTGTTGAGTTATATTCGCTTTAACGATTAATTAACGAAAATTAACTGCAGCGAAACTTTCCTGGTATACAGTATTCTTAACCCCTTGGGGCTCTCATTCTTATGTGTTTTTTACAAAATCGCTCCACTTTGGATTTAAATTCTTCGAGAATTTCACCCCCAATCTTCTATATAGAATATTACTTCACTTTATGTGTAGTCAGTTTCTCGCGGGAAATTTGACGGATATTAGCTGATTTGGAGCGGCTATGAGTCTAGTTGCTTCTCTGAAGTCTTCAAGGGTCTATTGCCTTCTCTTGGTTTCCTCGGAGTCTTGGTTTCCTAGGAGTCTTAACTATATCCAATAATAGTCTTGTATAGGCTCCCTAGAAAATTGAGAGCTTCGTCGCCTCTCTGGAGTATTTCAGAGTCTAGCTACTTCTATGTGACTTCACAGAGTCTTGCTTACTAGAATTTATTTTAAAATAATATACATGTTACTTAACAGTAGGACTGCTATTGAGTGAGTAGCCCCTGGTACGCCAAATGTTTTAACTAAGTTCATTACCTGTTCTTTGCTCGTACATATTTGTCTTGAATCAAGTAACACATAGGTTAAATGTTTCCTTGTGTGATATTACTTATGAATCTTGTATATTTCAGCTTTAAATGAACTTCTGTGTTGTCTTGCTTTAAAAATTGCACTAATCAGGGCGGTCCAAAGTTACAAACATGATTGGCTACCTAAAAGACAACGATATCTTTACTGGCTATTATATTATTCTTAAAGATTTTCTGTCAAACCTTAATTTCAAAAGAGAACGTTTTAATAATCTATATTGTTGTATTATATTTGTATATTTTTATCGTGTAATCTGACATCGTGAAGTGACTCATAAGCCAACACATGACAGGACAGGATTGATCAAATAACATGACTTTCAACATAGGACGTTTTCATAACCAATCTGTATTTATCGTATATAGGGAAATATTCGCCGCAGTTTTACTTTCGTCTTTGTCGCCCTCTGTAATGAGTTGGAATTTATCATTAGTGCGAACATAAGTAAACAGCAAGACAGTTTTAATTAAAAGTGAAGGGCGTATACGGAATTTACCAGTATAGGTCGAATGCGGATTTTACCAGTATAGGTCGAATGCGGATTTTACCAGTATAGGTCGAATGCGGATTTACCAGTATAGGTCGAATGCGGATTTTACCTGTATATGTCGAATGCGGATTTTACCAGTATAGGTCGAACGCGGATTTTACCAGTAAAGGTCGAATGCGGATTTTACCTGTATATGTCGAATGCGGATTTTACTTGTATATTTCGAATGTTTCCAGGTATACAGTTTCTACTACAAAACTTGTTACACTGTTAGGCCAGTATGTTACACATCTTTACGAACCCGACAAAACAATTACATTTGGATAACCGCGACTACATTAAGTAGAAAAAATGATTTATAAAAAAAACGTTGGAAATTCTAGCTGTTATACATACAACTCTAAGAGAATATTAGGTTTTTATAATTCATTAAGGTCTCTAATACGACTGGGTATAGCATTTCAAGTGTCACTAAACGGTATACGTTATTCGGAGCAAAAGACCTCCCAACAGTGAACTTGACCTCACGTTATAAGAAAGCTTGACGACACTGATGTTTATAGGTTATTGATGTAGTGGAGAGCCAGCCTTGAGTTGATTTCTTACTAATATACTGATTCATACTTGGTTCTTTTTCTCTCGATAGTGTTAGTTTAAATTGCTTGTTTAAAATTGTTCTGACTACCTATTCTTTGCATTTTTATTAATCCATGTAGCTGCTTTTTTACAGTTTCCAATAAAATTGTCAAAGATTCGACACAAAGTGAGACGTGTACACGATAAACCCTCAATTCTGCATCTCTTGATAACTTTGTATTGAGTTTTCTCAGGAGAGTAATTCCTGAAGCTTATTTCGAACACACTTTATTAACCTTATCTGTCCATCTGAGAGTGTGATCTAAAACCTGAGTAGGAACTGACTATACTTAAAAAACATTCACACACTTAATTGATGAAATGTCTCTAAAACGTATATGTTGTTACTGATAGGTATAATATCGATACCAGTATTTTTATGTATTTGTAGATTTCTACACTGGCACCTGTTCTCATTTGAGCCGTAAAACATTAATGTCGGGTGCCAAGCAGCAGTAAACCCCTATTTGCGACCTTATCCTAGGTAAAGTCAGTCATCCGAAGGGTATACCATGGTGGTATTTAACGCCATAGGCTAGAGCCGGCATTAACAACACATGTTTATGTTACACGAACTTTTGATACATGAATTTAGCCAGTCTATATGATTAACAGGATCTACCCAGTCATGGATATATAATTATAATTATATAATATATAATTAACTTTACAGAAATATATATATATATATATATAATTACTAGCTAAATTCAACATGTTTGGAAGTCATATAGCTTTATATTTTGTCCATACATGTTACTACAAATGCAAATTCGGTTCAAACACAAAGAAGAACAATGGTTAAATGAATTGCGACTTAAACAATGCGTGTACCATGTGCAGTTGTTTAATTCAGGTAAAACTAGACGTGTATATTTACAACGCCTTTAAAACAGCTATTGTTTTGTCTTTACCCTGATACTTGTAGTAGAGGGTATCGGTTCGTCAACGTTGGTCGCACTCCGAATAACTAATTTGTGAAAACTGGTTTACGTCGCATATGTTATGGAATAATATTTACCCGAAAGAACTTACAACATCATACAGCAATGGTAAGTATGATATATTATACTGTACTCGTACCAGTCCTAGTATGGAGCACAACAGTAAGTGTTCGTGCTGTAGAAATATACAAGTTTATTGTAGTTTTGCAACCTAACCTAATCGAAGGCCTGTTCGATGCATGGTTTCTGATTACAAATGTTTACTTCGAATATACATGTCCACTGTGAAATAAGAAAAAGGCCTCGTTTTAGCACGTATTCAAATTGTACAAGTTAAATTCTAAATTTTTATACAAGGTCGGAAGCTAATCCTTTTTTTTGTTTGTTTTGTTTTTGTAACTGATGATAATAAGTATCTAAATGGCATTATTTCAACATAACGATTGCAACGGTTTCAAGCAACTTACTCATATGAATCCGTGTCCTGAAATAAATCATTATCAAGGCAGTATGTTATTGATGTGTAACATGTTTTGTTTGTATTCATTCACTATTGGGGTTTATTGAGATGATATTCATTTGGAATCAGACATTAAGAATGGCTATACAAGGTCCGATACTAAAGTATTTTTAGACTAGAAAACCTATTGTACTACAACATGCTTCTTGAGTAAAGAGACACCTTGATCAATTAGATAAATCCTTAAGGCTTGTTAACCAGACAAACCTAGTATATTCCTGTACTATGTCCCCGCCTATCCCGTTACTGTATCAGTATATCTACAGACAATACACAAGGGCAGGAATCGGGCTTCTCAAGTTATATCAGCTTAATTGCACGGTAGATTTCAGATCGGTTATAACTATGTTCATCATTAAAAACAATGAAAGTTAAATATTAACGTTTTGGGTTTGAAAATTGTCACTGTCAAACAAAGTATTTATACAAACATATTCTTCTATTGCAGCACTTTTCAAAAGATTAAATTTGAAAATTTGATATAAGCTTCTAAACTGAACCTTGGTATTGAGTGTTTAATAAAGCGATGTGAAATACAAAGGGTTCATTATTTAAATTCAATCATTGATGTAACCTCGTGACAAGGTCGTGAAGAGGGTAGCCTTCCGTCTTTAAAAAATTAATGCATACCTATTTTAGACTAAAAAAACGAATGCTTTTTATTACAGTGAAACATGAAGCATATAGCTAAAAATTATTTATATTAGTTAATTTATTTATTTTAATTAATAAATACATATATTTGTGTTAACATCTTTTATTTATTTATATTATGAATTAAATTAAGATAACCACACCCATTTGACAAATGTTTATAAAGACTGACCCATGTCGGCTTTACACATGCATATCATGTATAATTATTTCCTAATCTTGAGGTTGATAAAAGGGGACTATAAGCTTTGGGATAAAATATGACTGTGCTTTTTTGTAGCTGTAATTAACCAGTGAATGTTTGACCACTTGACCACTGTAACCATAAGTCTGACGTGTCACGGCTGTAGTGGTCAAGCGGGACTATGAAGTGGTATCTTAAGCAGAAGACCTTGGGCTGGATAATATTGTTTGTTTGGGTGATGCTCTGGGGATATTTCAATCGCTCGTCATGTGTCAAAGAAAACAAGGAACCAGTAGCACACGCTTCAGATCTGGGTACAATGACCCCGGGACCAGTGTTACATATCAACATTTTAGATATAATAAGATCGACACTCTTGAAAGGTTAGTGTAATTCGTGGTAGTACGAAAACTGGCATGGATATTGATACAAAGGTACAATTAATTGAATTGATACTGCACTGTCCTTCATGTTTTAAATCATTGTTTCATGAAATCGTACAAATATATTCCGTTAAATCTAATAATGTATTTTGGCAAATATATAGCCATGCGAGTTTGACATGTTCGTCGATTGAAATATAACAGTAAAAAGAATTAAAAAGTCCTTTCTCTTTATTGAAAATACATCATCAACACTGATATCGATACAAGTTCATTGACGAATAATGAATGCCAANGCAACTTACTCATATGAATCCGTGTCCTGAAATAAATCATTATCAAGGCAGTATGTTATTGATGTGTAACATGTTTTGTTTGTATTCATTCACTATTGGGGTTTATTGAGATGATATTCATTTGGAATCAGACATTAAGAATGGCTATACAAGGTCCGATACTAAAGTATTTTTAGACTAGAAAACCTATTGTACTACAACATGCTTCTTGAGTAAAGAGACACCTTGATCAATTAGATAAATCCTTAAGGCTTGTTAACCAGACAAACCTAGTATATTCCTGTACTATGTCCCCGCCTATCCCGTTACTGTATCAGTATATCTACAGACAATACACAAGGGCAGGAATCGGGCTTCTCAAGTTATATCAGCTTAATTGCACGGTAGATTTCAGATCGGTTATAACTATGTTCATCATTAAAAACAATGAAAGTTAAATATTAACGTTTTGGGTTTGAAAATTGTCACTGTCAAACAAAGTATTTATACAAACATATTCTTCTATTGCAGCACTTTTCAAAAGATTAAATTTGAAAATTTGATATAAGCTTCTAAACTGAACCTTGGTATTGAGTGTTTAATAAAGCGATGTGAAATACAAAGGGTTCATTATTTAAATTCAATCATTGATGTAACCTCGTGACAAGGTCGTGAAGAGGGTAGCCTTCCGTCTTTAAAAAATTAATGCATACCTATTTTAGACTAAAAAAACGAATGCTTTTTATTACAGTGAAACATGAAGCATATAGCTAAAAATTATTTATATTAGTTAATTTATTTATTTTAATTAATAAATACATATATTTGTGTTAACATCTTTTATTTATTTATATTATGAATTAAATTAAGATAACCACACCCATTTGACAAATGTTTATAAAGACTGACCCATGTCGGCTTTACACATGCATATCATGTATAATTATTTCCTAATCTTGAGGTTGATAAAAGGGGACTATAAGCTTTGGGATAAAATATGACTGTGCTTTTTTGTAGCTGTAATTAACCAGTGAATGTTTGACCACTTGACCACTGTAACCATAAGTCTGACGTGTCACGGCTGTAGTGGTCAAGCGGGACTATGAAGTGGTATCTTAAGCAGAAGACCTTGGGCTGGATAATATTGTTTGTTTGGGTGATGCTCTGGGGATATTTCAATCGCTCGTCATGTGTCAAAGAAAACAAGGAACCAGTAGCACACGCTTCAGATCTGGGTACAATGACCCCGGGACCAGTGTTACATATCAACATTTTAGATATAATAAGATCGACACTCTTGAAAGGTTAGTGTAATTCGTGGTAGTACGAAAACTGGCATGGATATTGATACAAAGGTACAATTAATTGAATTGATACTGCACTGTCCTTCATGTTTTAAATCATTGTTTCATGAAATCGTACAAATATATTCCGTTAAATCTAATAATGTATTTTGGCAAATATATAGCCATGCGAGTTTGACATGTTCGTCGATTGAAATATAACAGTAAAAAGAATTAAAAAGTCCTTTCTCTTTATTGAAAATACATCATCAACACTGATATCGATACAAGTTCATTGACGAATAATGAATGCCAATTATTCTTTGACGTTAAGGTGTATACCTAATTATATATATATATATACGTTAAATTCCATCACCAACAGCGCCAGAGATAACGCGCCTTCCGCCATCACCGACAGCGCCAGAGATAACACGCCTTCCGCCATCACCAACAGCGCCAGAAATAACACGCCTTCCGCCATCACCAACAGCGCCAGAGATAACACGCCTTCCGCCATCACCAACAGCGCCAGAAATAACACGCCTTCCGCCATCACCAACAGCGCCAGAGATAACACGCCTTCCGCCATCACCAACAGCGCCAGAAATAACACGCCTTCCGCCATCACCAACAGCGCCAGAGATAACACGCCTTCCGCCATCATCAACAGCGCCAGAAATAACACGCCTTCCGCCATCACCAACAGCGTCAGATATTCAGCGTCCTCTACCATCTCCAACAGAACAAGCGTCAACTGAGGTAAGTCGTATAAGCCACCCTTTACCAATGCCAGAGCTAACTACAGTGACTGATATTAACGGTATTTCATCATCGCTAACAGAGCAGCGTCGCTGGCGGTTTGTCTTACTTACAAGAAAGCCACATCAGTCAAGGTAACCGTCATCCGTACTCACCAATAAAACCGGAGTCAGTTGTGGTAAGTCATGATTACCTAATATTCCGACACCAATGTATCGTATAACGATGTGGCTTACACCTCAATGTTACTTAGTCGGCATCGAACATACCAGTCCATTTCCATTTTTTTTCCAGGTTGAAGTCACGGGGAGATTGAAAGTCGATCGTAGAAAAGCTCTTCTGTACGGAAAGGCAAGAAAAACTAAAAGTCAGTATACATTTGTAAATAATAAGAAATCCATCTTTTATACGCTGCCGAACGCTGTATCACGTCGTGTTAATCCTTTGCAATACATTAGCAGTAGTTTATCATGCATACGTGATATGCGTTATATATAATCCATTATTTTATACAGTTTCTGTGTTTACTTATATTTACCTAGTTCCCCATATCAAATATGTAGACTTCCAAACGTTGTGTTTTCTTTGGGTATAGGTCGTCCATACAATATTTGCGTATCCAAAATTTGACGCTCACGTTTTACATATTTATATTATCTCCAGAGATATTCTACCAATTCTAAATGTCAACGTATATTTATAACTCTGAGAGCTATTCGTAGACATGATTGATATGGATGGACCAATTAACTACATCAAAGACGACCAAACTTATGTTTTAATGACGGGCAACAATATTAACAAGTGAATCATCAAAGTTTATCTGTATTAAAAATTATCCCAAACTCTGAGCCCAAATGGAAATTTTCTCTTTGATCACCACAACTTATGTTAGAAGCGTCCATTTGTTTCTCTGAACAGGGGTATATAAAGACGTCGAATTCAAGACAGCTTTACGTTAGAAATCCAGTCACCCAAAATATATTTGTGTTAGAGATGGTAGAATGAGCCAAAAAACTAACATCTAAGTGTAATCTTCTTTTCATACCTCTATGGTATACGCCATACTTACTACACGTCAAAACAGTGCATTGGAACATAAAACAATGACGGACTATGACGTGGAAATTAACCCTATGTAGGTGTTATTGTCGCTGTTACCGATGGTTTAGTGCAGCATTAAAACTATTATGCAAAATCTCGGACAGGGATTAAACGTCATTCTACCACCTTCTAAAATTCATAATTAGTTGCACATAAAATAGTCCCTGCACGTAGGGCGTAAGAATTGTACCTGCTGCATGATCGTATGAGGCGACTAAATTTGGGATCTTATCATTTCTCTTCTTTCTAAACAACTATCTTCTTCCAAAGTCTCCCTTGACAATGCCTCACTTTTGGCCTATAGTAAGTTGAGCGTTCGCCCTTGTGAAGAAGGCTTTGGGTTCTGTCACCTGGTCGAGACATACCAGAGTCTGTAAAATTGGTAGTTTCTACACTTGCTTAACGCTCAGAAATTAAGGAGTGGGACGACTGGTTTGCCCGTTGTCAGTATAATGTGACTATGTGGGGTGTCCTGCTGGGTGTCTTCGGCAGTATGTTTCAGTGAGGTAGCACTATAAAGTCGGCATCAGTTCCGCGCTATCACAAGGAGACAAACACGAACATATCGCAGCCTCCCAAAACACACACGCATACACTACACGCATGTATCTTGCACACAGGGGAGGCCGTCCTTAAATGACCATAGCTGTTGATAGGACGTTAAACAGTACTAAACCAAACCAAACTAATACTCATAAAATTGATCGTAGGTATTGTAAGACATTTTAAAAACATTGTTCTAAATTTTAAATCCATCATAACGAATTATAATCTTTGTATTATTTACATTTATTGTAACTGTTCTCACATTACAGGTTCCTTGACTATCGGGATCCCTACATTACGTCGACAGGGGGTGGATTATCTTGAGAAGACACTCTTTTCTCTAATCACCCACTCAGATGCGTCCCAGCAAATGTCGATAGTGGTGGTCATTTTTATGGTGGACATGGACAAGACCTGGACCAGGATAAGGAGCAAACAGCTAGCCGTCAAATACCCCAAGCTCATACAAAGCGGATTCCTCCAGATAGTGCATCCACATGATCAAAGTATATATCCAGATTTTGGAAAGCTCAAAAGAACGTATAATGACTCATTAGAGAGGGTGGCGTGGCGGTCGAAACAGAATATTGATTATGCTTACCTTTTCGCGTATAGTCAAAACATATCAAAATATTATCTCCAACTAGAGGATGATGTCGTTGCAGCTAGCGACTATTATAGAGACATTGTAAGTTTTATTGATTCCAATTCCAACAGATTCTGGTATTACCTTGAGGTTTCACATATAGGATTTATTGGAAAACTGATACGATCATCAGACCTTGGTGGTCTGTCAGAATATATTATGATGTTTTTTGATGAACAGCCAGGTGACCTTTTGCTTATTGCATTAGGTAAAATCAAAACACAGTCAAAGAGGATAGTTGCAACTAGATCTTTGTTCCAACATATAGGTACCGTGTCAAGTTTGCCGGGAAAAGTACAAAAAATAATTGACAAACATTTCAAAGATTCGTTTGACAAACGTTTCAAAAATGCATTTGGTTTAAAAGACTCGTTTAGTTTGAAACAATATCCCCGAAAGAGATTCTATCATTCAAATCCCTCCGCAAAAATAGATACAAACATTGAAGTGTATTCAAATTATAACCCTGTGTATGCGTATGACTTATCAAATAGGTTTTTCTGGGGAGTCAGTCCTAGACGGGGAGGAAACTTTCGAGTCATATTCCATGTTCCTCAAAACATAAGCCGTATATTCATAGATTCTGGTAGCACTGAAATAGACACAGACATACTGTATGATGGTAAACTGTTAGTATCATCCAGCATATCAAATGAGGAGCGAACACCATGTCAAAATTTCACAACCATCTCTAAATTTGAGAATGGCGACATCGACACCAGCAAATCGAATGTTTCACTTCCGGTAAATATAGACTGTATTGTTATTGCAGTGATGGCCAATCAAACTGATTGGCTCGTTATTAGAGAGATCGCCATATTCCTTCCGGGCGAACTTGAAATTACGGAACCGAGTAATCAATTATCCCAAAAACCTAGCAAGGAACGTGTAATGATAGGAAAGGATGCACTGGAGAAAAGTGATTCACTTAAACCACATCTCGCTCACAGAAACTCAATAGAACGACATACCGTATTTAACATTCGTGGTCATAACAAGCAGTATGAACCAGGACATACCGACGACCACGTATCATATCCGCCGTACAGAGGTGTTACGGTGAATCTTGGTGATAAAGATGTCAAACATTTTGAAAGAGAAAGCGATGTGAAGCAAGCGTCTGACATGAATCAGACAACAACGTCTCGTGTACAACATCCATTTGAACAACATTACGACAACGTCACACAACGGGATGATGCAATGAACATATACAATTCAACTGGGGTGAATAAGTATTCTAGGAAAAGATTTTATCACGTCAATCCTCCCGCAACAATACACACACAAATTGAAACTTTCTCTGGTTATAAACCTGTATATGCATATGATTTGTCGGACACATTTTTCTGGGGGTCCTATCCGAAACAAGGCGATTACTTCTTGATATTACTGAAGTCTCCACAAAACATCAGCCGTATATTCATCGACTCTGGTTACGAAGGAAAGGAATTTGACATACTACAAAACGCTAGACTGTTGATATCAACAAGAACACCTGGTAATGAAGAAAGAACATGTCAAAAGCTCGGAGCTGTAGCACTCTTTGTAAATGGGGACGTCGACACAAAGATTTCAAACATTTCACTTCCGGTAAATATAGATTGTATTGCAATAGAGCTTACGGCAAATCAAAACGACAGGCTCATCATCCGAGAAATCGCTGTGTTCCTATCAGGAGAATTAGAGAGTGCGAAGCTGGACAAAATTACAAGCTCCCCACAAATGCGAGAGGAACGTAAGGTGCTTGAACAGACATTCAAAAGAAATGAAACATTAAAACGACTATTTGTTTCCAAACAGTCACTTGGGTCGGTTCAAACAAAGAACCCCGATAACATTAAATCACAATGGCAAGATCTGCAAGGCCATACCGACAGCCGTCGTTCGAATTTAAATCAACCGAAAGAAAGTTTAGACCGGCGACCGTATGTATCTCCAAACCACAGGCAAATAAATGTGCATGATGCAAATGATGCGAAAAATCGCTCAGAAACGTTGTTTAAAAACGGATATGCCATAGACCGAAATAAACTTTTAAAAAATGGACGTCATCATCGTTATCAACCGACTTCCGACAGCAGATTTAACAACAGTGAAGACAAACGTGTGCAACAAAGGACCTATTCGCTACTACAACAAAACAACACTGAATTTTCACACAATATAGAAACAAATAGAAAAAAACTTTATGTGAATCCGTGGCACACCAGTGATGCCAAAGTTGTTGAAAAAGTAACTACAGACAAGAAAACAAGCAATGTTAAGCGGGTACCCGAGGTAACTAAGATAGTCAACTATACATTGGAACATCGTAAAGAACAAAAGTACAACGACAGGCAAACGGATAATATTGCAAACAAAACGGAAAAGAATGGAGTGAATCAGTATTCTCGGAAAAGATTTTATCACGTCAATCCTCCCGCAACAATACACACACAAATTGAAACTTTCTCTGGTTATAAACCTATATATGCATATGATTTGTCGGACGCATTTTTCTGGGGGTCCTATCCGAAACAAGGCGATTACTTCTTGATATTACTGAAGTCTCCACAAAACATCAGCCGTATATTCATCGACTCTGGTTACGAAGAAAAGGAATCGGACATACTTCAAAACGCTAGACTGTTGATATCAACAAGAACACCTGGTAATGAAGAAAGAGCATGTCAAAAGCTCGGAGCTGTAGCACTCTTTGTAAATGGGGACGTCGACACAGAGATTTCAAACATTTCACTTCCGGTAAATATAGATTGTATTGCGATTGAGATTACGGCAAATCAAAACGACAGGCTCATCATCCGCGAGATTGCGGTATTCCTATCCGGATAATTGAAGAACAATGAACTGGACAAAAATGTCATCTCCTGAAAGATTCAAGAGGTTAGTAAGACACGTTAAAACATATACTGATAGAAGTGATAATGTCCTTAAACCAACGTTGCATCTCCGCAGTATTTTCAGTAGGGCAGATGGAAAAATCAAAGGACCTCAGCATTTCCAAGATATACAGACAGGCACAACTTGAGTCCAGTCCAACTGAAGAAGCAATAAGGTCGACACCACAAGTGCCTCTTAATCGCAAGAAGATAAATAAAAAACAAGTGTAAGGTTTATTAAAACTCATAAAACACTAATTAAAGGTATGACACGTTAAAAAAACATAAAAACAAGAATAAGTCTTTTCAGACCATATTTTTTTATTGGTTTCATTTTTAATCTTCCCTTTTAAGCTTTGGACCAGGTGAAATTATACCGTACCGTGGTGTCCGTCGTCCATTCGCCGTCAACATTTCCTTTAGACTACTTCTTTTGTTCTTCTGCTAAACTGCCTAGTGGAATTTTACCAAATTGGAATGGACATACCCATAGTTGATGGAGATTCAAAATTATACAAATTGAGGGACCGACCCACCAGGGTGCCGAGGGGAAGGTTTGTTTGCCATTTTGGTTTAAGCGACCTCTTTGGAAATAAGATATGGATATCAACCACATTTGATTGGAAATATCCCAATGTAATTGGGATTAGATATTGTATATGTACTAAGGAGAGGAGCCAAGGGATTTTATAATTTGAAAATGACTGATATCCATCACATAACCATATATACAACACCTGAATATAAAGAGACAAGTACAAATATGCTACCAGGATGCCCTTTGGATCTGGTACCACCCTTTGAGACTTAGTCCCTGGGTTACAACTTTGAAGCTCTTTAGAACACCACTCTATAACCATATTTACAATTGCTTAAAATGAAGAGACGAATACATATAGCCCTCAGGATTAGCCCCAGTGAATGAACCCAAACTTGATGACTTAGTCACAGAGTCATAACTTTGAACCGTTAGAGATCTCCACCCCATATTATGCAATTGCTCGACATGAATTGTTTTATACAGATATGCTACCAGGATTGAACTCGGGGCCTGCTCTACGTTTGGTTACTTAGTCATTTGGTTATGACATGGAACTTGTTGAGATCACAACCTCTAAATGAGATACGTAAATGCTGGGTTTGAAGAGATGAACACACGCTATCAGAAAAAACTTATCATCCAACAAGCGAACGAAAGGTTCAAGTAATTTCTCACAAAGAGTTTACTTGAAAATTTTGAGAGTAGAGTCAAATGGTTTCAATACCACCCCACACCACCCTAGACCGACCCCCCACCCAACCAAACAAACGAAAGAAATGTATGTAAAATCCAAATGATCGTAAACAATTATTTGAAAGTGCAGCCGTTAAATTAACATTGAGCAATCAACTAATGACATGATTTATACGAACATGCTGAAAGCTGAAGTGGCAGATTTGCATACTTGTCAATTTTAATGGAGTCTCTATTTATTAACCCAAATTTCTGACTGCGGGAATCAATACTTAAAAAATATGCTTTGTGCTAAAATGCAGTTATTTCACTGCCTTAAACAGTTAAAACCATGGCTTTTTACACTTTAAGTATTTAGAAGAGAGGTTACATTTTTTGTCTGTTGTAAGATTTTGTCACGCGATTTCTCCTAAGAAAATGTTGAAATTGTGGTTTCAATAATTTATCACTGCATACTGGAAGGTATTCATCACGTTACGCACAAGATAAAAACAATAGATTAATCATTTTTTTGTTGACGTAAAATAATCACAATCATTGTATTTATTTGTATTGATAGCAGTCAATTTATTCTTTTAGTATGTTATTCGAAGTTTTCCGGGACGCATTCCATAAAATTTTCTGTTCAAAGATCTTCAGACAATTTTAACCTTCATGAATACATATTTTAAAATGCTTTCATATCAAATTTCAATCTTCTGTTGAACGAATAGGGATAAGGACAAAATGTAACGTATTTATATAAATATCTGGTATAAATAAATAGTTATTGTATATTTGAAACTTTTTTTTTACATTTGACTGTAAGTTAAACAGTTTTATGTTTATGCATTACTATGAATGTTTGATATAATCTAAATATATACATCACTCCATGTTAACTGTAAGAGCATCACTCCATATTTACTGTGCGTGGTTAATAGTTATATGAACGTAAAAGCATCTCTCTCCATATTTACTGTGAGAGGTTAAAAGTTATATGAATGTAAAAGCATCTCTCCATATTTACTGTGAGAGGCTAATAGTTATATGAATGTAAAAGCATCACTCCATGGTTACTGTGAGAGGTTAATAGTTATATGAATGTAAAAGCATCACTCCATGGTTACTGTGAGAGGTTAATAGTTATATGAATGTAAAAGCATCACTCCATGGTTACTGTGAGAGGTTAATAGTTATATGAATGTAAAAGCATCACTCCATGGTTACTGTGAGAGGTTAATAGTTATATGAATGTAAAAGCATCACTCCATGGTTACTGTGAGAGGTTAATAGTTATATGAATGTAAAAGCATCACTCCATGGTTACTGTGAGAGGTTAATTATTATATGAATGTAAAAGCATCACTCCACGTTTACTGTGGGAGGTTAATAGTTATATGAATGTAAAAGCATCACTCCATGTTTACTGTGAGAGGTTAATAATTATATGAATGTAAAAGCATCACTCCACGTTTACTGTGAGAGATTAATAATTATATGAATGTAAAAGCATCACTCCATGTTTACTGTGAGAGGTTAATAAGTATATGAATGTAAGAGCATCACTCCATGTTTACTGTGAGAGGTTAATAATTATATGAATGTAAAAGCATCACTCCATGTTTACTGTGGGAGGTTAATAGTTATATGAAAGTAAAAGCATCACTCCACGTTTACTGTGAGAGATTAATAATTATATGAATGTAACAGCATCACTCCATGTTTACTGTGGGAGGTTAATAGCTATATGAATGTAAAAGCATCACTCCACGTTTACTGTGAGAGGTTAATAATTATATTAATGTAAAAGCATCACTCCATGTTTACTGTGAGAGGTTAATAGTTATATGAATGTAAATACATTACTGCGTACATCAATGGTTTGTACTGAAGCCTGTATCATACTGGTAACCAATGTATTGATTACAGCTGATGCAATGTAGTCTTTCTTGAGCAAGAATAATTAGATATGTTGAAGTATTCTCGATCATCTCAGCAGATGGTTAATTCGTATGTTAAAGATAACGTAGTACAGGGAATTACGTAGTCCTAACGTGAGATTACATGTTAATACACTAAAATCATACATTCATCTGAAGTGTCAAACATCCGGATGCATCCAGTGTTTCTGATCTGATAGTAACACGAGTTGGATTCAGCATTCGCCTGTTTTTGGAGCCATGTTCATTGAACCATCGGGATATACCCCGAAGTTGTTTTTTTCAGCTGGGACTGCCTCAATAGGTTCGGAGAGACTGATTTGGCTTCAACATTACAAGTTTTCTTACTTTCTGATATGGTGTCCCAGCTGAGGTTCGATAACCATTCGTACTTTATCTAGATGTTTTAAAATTATGTCGTGCTTACTTAAGCATGTCAAAGTTCTTGGTTATTTCAACACTGGTCTAAAATCCGATTTCCTGAATAACTGGAACTTTTGACTTAACCAATGCTGTCTTCATCTGGTATGTAAGAAGTTGATCCAGACTGGAATTGATCCTACGAAATTCGTTCTGGCTGACAATTAACTATCGATCTGGATGTAATACAGTTTCTGTTGAAGACAACACTTGTAAATAGTTCTATATATATGCTCTTTTACATTTCCCCTGCATTTCTACATATGTTTCTAACACCTAAGACTAATAAAATCTTCCCCTACCTTGAGGGTGTGACAGAGAAATCTCCTACCCGACGGGTTAGACAACCAAAAATTCACCCCGAGGGTTGGATATTTCTCTGTCACACCCTCAAGGTAGGGGATGATTATATTTCTCCCATTCTAATTTTTCAGTCACAACCACACCGACACAGTAGTCTCTCATGTTTGTAAACAAAAACACACGTGTGGTATGAATATCGTCATTCATTTTTGATGACGTCACAATTACTGGTGACGCATTTTAATGACGTCACAATTGAGCACGTGCTAATCGGCACGAGGCTATTTCCCCCTGGGGGTTGACAAGCTGATCTTTCCCGGCTAAAACAGGAGACACACCTGTGAAGGGTGGGAGAAATAGATTTGATTCCTTTAACTTGAATATCACTTACGAGTTCTAAATGGACGGAACAGTCATATGCTGCAGTAAAATATTTACTTTTTCAACAAACTTAATTCACAATAACAGGTGCTTATTCTGTTAGAAAGTGATCGCTGAACGCTGATGGACAGCTTGCATGGTATGGTGATTTTATCAGCCCGACCGATTCTTTTTGCTTGTTTCCTTATAGTTTATGTAAATCTTAAAACTATTCATGTTCTGTTCCTCATTCTTATGTTTGAATAATAATATTTCTTGCATTAATTAAAAGACAAGCTAATCAATTATAGGATCTGTATATCTGCTGCTTGGCGATCAATTTAGTCCTGTGCCATGCATCGTCTTTACTTTTCTGTGCTTCTATCGTCATCGCAAAGCTTTACATTGTACCACGGAGAGTTTGGTATCATATTAATTAAATTTGTTTGAGTCATGTTTTATTAGTTTTGATACAAAATATGTGCGTTAACAAGACCATCAGCAGCCCTTTCTGCAGACTAAAAGGCAGGAGAAGATTGACTGTCCCTGATGAAGACTGGCACCGAAATTTCTCGGTATTTCCGGCAGTGGCCTTCCTCGAACGCGTGATGAGCACAGCTAGTTTATTGGCCATGGTTGTGGATGGCTTCCATCATATGGTTAATTAGAATGGGAAATTAAGCAAACTCTCTGCGGGGAAAAACAAAAAGCTAATTTATATTGCTTAATGAAACCAAAACCGTATCGCTGACATGTTATTGAATGTTATTTGCAAACACCTTTGACCTCTATGACATTTAGTGACTCGAGGAGTCATTTTACATTTACATTTAATTTACATCCAATCTTTAAATCTTGAACAGACTATCAAGCTACCTGCTAAATATTAATAAAACATCCGGTCATATGAACCAATAGACAAAATATCGTTCTAAAACTTTTGACCATGTGACTTAGAAGTGGGTCAGCGTCATTCCTACTGGCAAAATATTAACCACTTTTGACCCTCACTTGTGACCAGAAAGTGAGTCGGGGTTTATTGAACGACCTTGTTTGATGATTGTATCATCCTCGATACTCCAGTGGTTACGCTCACTCCGCACCTTCTCTGCACCCCTGGAATATGTCATCAAAAGAATCTGTAAAATTCATTGGCTTTGATGTCGGGTGTCGCTCATCTTTAATCTTCAAAGGACAGGTATAAGCCTAGCCATTGGTCTGTTTTTTTTTTTTTTTTACACAAGACCAATCAAATAGATAGCCACGAGCCTTCAATTTTGCTATGACATATATTCCAGCGGTTCAGAGAGTGAAAGTGAGTATCGCAGATGATTTCACCTCTACGGCCTTGAAAGTTGACAAAGGTAATTTTAATTTGAAAAAAACCCAGTGGATAATGTTTTTACTAAAGCAACCTTCAAACTAAATACCATTTTTCTGAACCATATGAAGATTTGAAAACGAATTCGACCCGTAGACTTTGGAGTGAGCCATATCAGTTAATTTGAACAAACTTAATAGTCTAAAATTCGGTCAAGATTAAGGTAGAAATTCCATAAAGATTTAGGCATAAATTCCATTAATTAGGAACTATAGGATCTTTGAAAGAAAATGTTTTTAAGTTTTTAACAAATTTGACCCCTGTAACCTTGAAAGAGAGTATAGGTCACTGATGCGATGAAGACTTTATATGTTATGGATCCAAAGAGAATGTTGATATATAACAGATGCAGGTATCTGCTTCACTGTATTATCTCGTAGGCAGGCAAAAACTCCTTGATTTCAGGTCAATTTCACTTGAAAAGAGCAAAAAAGGTAACATCAGGTCAAAAATTGACCTTAAATTTGCTATCATGGTGTTTTTTTCCCAGGTCAAATTGACATCAAGAATTTTTGCCTGTGTAAGCACTTTATGACAGGTCACAACCAATGTCTTTAACACTCAAACACTATGTTTAGTTTTAGACACTAATGTACGTATACGATTGAAGTAGAAACTTTTCACAGATCTGTAGAAGTCAAGATTAAATTATTTCAATTGTTGGAAATACATGTAACACACATTATTAATTTATACACTTTGAAATAGGGCAACTACCTGTGTATGTTATTAGAAAATAACATAACAAGAGGCCCAATGGGCCTGCATCGCTCACCTGGTATTAATCTCACACTTGTAATCTTAAAAGTGGACTAAAATACAGCTACAGGCAGAATATCAGTGGTTGATTCATAAGAACCTATTAAAAGATTTAAACATATGACGCCTGTGACCTTGAATGTCGAACAAGGACATCAGGTGGGAAGTGGATCAAGGTCATTCATTTGAACAAACTTGGTAGTCCTTCATCCCAGCATGCTACATGCCTAATTTCAGTACCCTGGGCCTTTTGGTTATTGAGAAGAAGTGTTTGAAGATTTTAACATATTTGACCCCTGTGACCTTGAAATTGGGTCAAGGTCATGGTGAGCTAAGAAGGGCAAGTGAGCTAAAAACCTATACTAAATGAAAGAAACCAAAAATTGTTTACTTAAAGTATGTTGTGAACACAGAAATGTTTTGATAAAAGCTTTGGTGGAGTGAAAATATAAGACAAGAATTGCTTCAGTATTTATGAAATGGTAACAGTGATAGTCTAGTATGTGTATTTAAGTAGATAGAACACAAAATTCAGATAAATAAATGCATTTCATTTTATTTTGAAGTGTTTATTTTATTAAAAAACAAATCCAAAACCATGTTATAATCACCAGTGTACTGTTCCCTGTAATTACTTGTGAAGGTAAATATTGAAAAACTTCAATACAGCAAACTTAATGTACTGTAACATCTAAAAAACAAATCCAAAACCATGTTATAATCACCAGTGTACTGTTCCCTGTAATTACTTGTGAAGGTAAATATTGAAAAACTTCAATACAGCAGACTTAATGTACTGTAACATCTAAAAAACAAATCCAAAACCATGTTATAATCACCAGTGCACTGTTCCCTGTAAGTACTTGTGCAGGTAAATATTGAATAACTTCATTACAGCAGACGTACTGTAACAGCATACCTGGCCACAGGTAATTCATACCTGGCCACAGGTAATTCATAAAATACTGTATACTGTCAAATTATCGTCCATTCAAACTTCACTTGTAAAATCTTTATTGGCCCAATTTTAGTTTTGCCCATTTTATGAAATTACTATATCTAATATGCTGTGAACGTAGTTTAACCTTTCTGATAAGTTCGCCCTTATTGGGGTGGGCAAAAATGACATAAGTTTTAACTGTGGCAAAAATTTCTCTGTATACAGTATTCTGGGATACAATACACCAATGAACAAATTATATGATTTTACTGCAGACACTAAATCCTTGACCAATCTTTAAAAGTTACACAACATATACATGTATATGAAAAAAATATATTATATTTCTATGTATAGAGCAGAAATATACTCCATAAATATACACACACTGAATAAAACCCCAGGGAAACCTGATCATTAAGGCTTCAACACATCCATAATAACTGTAGATCCAACGTGAGCCAGTTGGGTGTCTCCCTTCACAAGATTCTAGGAACTAGGTTCCATTTACCACACACTGTTAGTACATTTAGTAAGCAGTATCCTTAAAACAAGTGACTGGGTATACAAGCTTTGACAGTCTTGTACAATAGATATGAAAATAATTTGTATTGAAATGTTCCTTTTAGCTGCACTAGCTGTGTTTGATCGTTAAAAGCACTCGCCCATAATACCAGAAAATACCAATACCATCTACAATACTTACCGAAATTCAACATGAAAATAAAGATAATGTAATACATGGTTGTTTCCTATTTAATCGCCTAGGTAAACTGTTAAAGAAGTTCCTGTAATATTTTTTTATAAAATTTATCATTTGTGTTTTAAGATGAAATGACTGAAAATAAAAGCATTAGGCTGTGATGTGATCAAGCTTGCTATAGATAGGTAAATGTCTTAATCTCCACACGTCACTTCATACACCTGTTTGACCAACTAGCTGAATATTGGCAATTATGCACATAATTGTTCAGTGGTCACAACATCAAAAACTTCACAATTTGGCGAGCTCATCCATGTAGGCGCCCATCACTTTAATCTGAAACAAAATAAAATAAATGTCAGGACCTTTTATCAGTCACAGTACAGTATAGTTGCAAAATGTATTGAGGATAACTTCAAAACCTCAATTATGATGGTCAGAGTTGTTTCCCCTGGATTTGAGATACATCAACAAATCACAATGCCCCCCAGCAAACCTTACAATTTAGTTCTCTAGACATTCTTCATTATCATTTTGATCATCAATACACAATTCTTTGCCAGGAATAAAACAACTTTGTTATGAGCAAGAATTTACAGTACAGCAGGTGTAAGATACTGTTGTGTCAAAATATATATGATACTGCTGACTTAGGAAATGTTAAACGGAAATGTAAATATTTGCTTTACTGGTTTGTTGGTACATTATATTATAAGATTATGCATCCTAGCAATAGATGAATTTGTACAAAGTGTCTACAGATAATTGGGCCACTTGAGGGCCATTTTAGTGTTCCATCTTACCAAAATGTCATAATCTGATAGGGTAGAATGACAGTCGCATTTTACTGACAACAAGCTAACAGAGGTGCCCGTAGAGACGACACTAGACAGAAATTGAAATTAGAGAGAAAGTTAAACATAGGGACCCTCAGTGTTGCAAGAGGGCTTAGAATAAACCCTGTAATTCTGGAGGGGGCGTTATTGGTTGTCTCTAACAATCATGCAATGGGGTGTAGAAAAAATCATTTTATATAATAAAATGTTTTACCCCATTGATATAGTTGACTACGTCCATTTTCTCGTTCTGGGAGTGTGCACCATCATCTGAACAACCAAGCGGGAGCAGCATAACATTTTTCTTGGTTGCTTCCTGGAAGGTCAAGGTCACTGGAATGCTGCCACCTTCGCGGGTCAAGTCCGGCTCAACACCATACACTGAGTACAAACAAAATAAACTGACCAGTGGGAAAACTACAAATGTAGCAATGTCAAACTGTTTGGTCCAGAATATCAGCTTGGGGGGAAAAACACAGTTCAGGACTTTTGTTAAGACCACAAAAACAAAAGATGCTATTTTAAGAGAGGAAAGTTAGAAATCTCTAAAAGAAATGCTACTTCATGTCATTTGAACCAAATTTCACTCAAATCAATTCCTGGAAGATGGGTATTTCATACAATTTTGATTTCACACAAAATGAAAATCACACTTTTGTACACTTTTGAATTTACTGTTTTGGTATTGTAAACATTGTGTAGTTACACAATTAACAAGAGACCCAGAGGGCCTGTATCACTCACATGTTTCGATTGTTACATGAAACTGACATATAAGATACCTCAGACCAAATTTGGTTACTAGAGCACAAGACATTTTAACATCTTTTAAACAGTTCCTAAGATGTTGTTATTTGAAATTTGAAATTTTAATTTTGAAGCTTAACCCAAGTTGACATTTGACTCCGGCTAACATTTAAGGTAGCAGAGTACAGTAGAAATGGCTTGATCCTAAAAATAAAGGGCATGTCTCAGATAAACATGTACAGCGTATTTATCCTGCACAACACACCTACATATATGTATATATTTAGAAACTACATTTTGAATATATATTTTTTAGAAGAATGAATTTGTTTTCAAAAAGTGATTTCCCCAGATTTGGGAATTGTGAAAACCATGGTTACCACATCAAAAAACGCCCAAAAATGCAAAAAAAAATGTCTTAAATTGAATATCACTTACTCAGTAACAGAAATACTCTTGTTTTAGCATAGGTCGTTCAACTGGATTTTTCACAATATTTACACATGAAAAGCTAGCTTTCGTTGTGTAGACACAGATTGGTAAATGGCCAAAAATGTAGTCTCAAACCAAATTAATCTTTTTTTTTTTAATTGTTAAGCCCACATAATATGTTTATGCCAATTTTAGTGTTGATTTGTTTTTTAAACTTTGCTACGTGTAATATTACATAGGTTATTCATTGTACAAAAACATCATCCATGGCCACCGTACGCTACTGTACACTGCTACCTTAAGTTGACCTTTGACCTCATTACTGTTATAAAGAAAACGATTCACACAGCTGTTCTACATAACATATCCAAGTATCATGACTCTAGACCAAATGGTTCTTATAAGATATTGTTGTTTGAAGATTTTGACATATATGACCCTGTGACCTTGAACGTAGGTCAAAATCATTTCAATGAAGAGCCTTGCATCCCAGGTACCAACTGGCCAAATATCATGACCCTTGGCCTTATGGAACTTAAGAAGCTTTTAACCCATGCTGACCTTTGACCCCCGACTAGCATTTAAAGTTGAACTTTGACCTCATTACTGTAAAAAAAGGAAAAGATTCACACAGCTGGTCTACAAAACATACCTAAGTATTATGACTCTAGTCCAAATGGTTCTTAGGATATTGTTGTTTGAAGTTTTTAACATATTTGACCCATGTGACCTTGAAAGTAAGTCAAGGTCATTTTAATGAGGAAACTTTATAGCACTCCATCCCAGGTACCTACTGGCCAGATATCATGACACTAGGTCCTGTAGTTCTTCAGAAGAAATCGTTCAAAAGAAAACGTTGACGGACAAACGACAGACGCCTTCGGGCCAGGTGAGCTAAAAATTACATGGGTATCAATGTCACAATGATTTCCCAGATAAATTTTACTGTGTAAAAAATTCTAACAAAGAAACACTGTAGAATATAGCCAAAATTTTGAGACATTGCCCTTTTTGTTTTTAACTTTAGTGAAACTTAAACTTACCAGTTTTCATGGCTTTTCTCCCAGCCACAAAATTTGGATCGTTGTAATCACTGACCCAGGGTTTCCCACCATGTCCCATAGTCAGCCTACAAATTGAGACAATGTTTATAGCTACTTATATACTGTATATCGGGAAATAATAGACCAGGTAATCTTTTGCCGATAAAAATCCAGATTCACCCCGAGTTTATTTCGCCCTTCACATTTACTACTGTTCATATTATGCTGATGATAATTTTATAATGATAAATTTGCCCTCATTACTGTGGGCCAAAAAGACAAAAGTTAAAAAGTGGTGTAAATTTCCTGGTGTGCAGTACAGCTCTGTTGTAATGAATGATCATTACAAGTTGTTCAAAAGGTGTTTATTAATCGGTGACTTGGGCAAATTTTAACTTTTGTGTATCTTACCACACAACTATTGAATTAGTGAAAACATATGAAATATTGAGTAGAGTGAATTTACATGCAAAATTGTGAGATTTTACCTTGTATATTGATGAAGTTATTAAAGTTTGAAAAATGCTGTTAAACCGTTATTAAGCTAACCACCTTTTGGACAACTGGGCAACTGTACAATAAATCAGACTTAATGAAATACAGAGCATTTTGCAATTATAACATCTGTATGTCTTTGCATTAACCTTCACCATAACCCTAATTCTAAACACACACTTTCTGTATAATTGATACAGTAAAATTCAGGCCCCTGTATCTTGAAAGTCAAACTATACCATACCCCTGTATCTAGACTGTAATACTGTACCATACCCCTGTATCTAGACAGTTATACTGTATCATACCCTTGTATCTAGACAGTTATATTTATCATACCTTTGTATCTAGACAGTTATACTTATCATACCTCTGTATCTAGACAGTTATACTGTATCATACTCCTGTATCTAGAGTTATTCTGTATCATTCTCCTGTATCTAGACAGTTATACTGTATCATACTCCTGTATCTAGACAGTCATACTGTATCATACTCCTGTATCTAAATAGTCAAACTGTATCATACCCCTGTATCTAAACAGTTATATTGTATCATACTCCTGTATCTAGACAGTTATATTGTATCATACTCCTGTATCTAGACAGTTATTCTGTATCTTTCTGCTGTATCAAGACACTTATACTGTATCATTCCCCTGTATCTAAATAGTCATACTGTATCATACCCCTGTATCTAGATATTTATACTGTATCATACCTCTGTATCTAGACAGTTATACTTATCATACCTCTGTATCTAGACAGTTATACTGTATCATACCTCTGTATCTAGACAGTTATAGTGTATCATACTCCTGTATCTAGGCAGTTATACTGTATCATTCCCCTGTATCTAAATAGTCATACTGTATCATACCCTTGTATCTAGACAGTTGTGCTGTATCTTACCCCTGTATCCAATTGTCATACTGTATCTTACCCCAGTATCTAGACAGTTGTACCGTATCTTACCCCTGTATCCAACTGTCATACTGTATCTTACCCCTGTATCTAGACAGTTGTACCGTATCTTACCCCTGTATCTAGACAGTTATACTGTATCATACCTCTGTATCTAGACAGTTATACTGTATCATACCTCTGTATCTAGACAGTTATACTGTATCATACCCCTGTATCTAGACAGTTATACTGTATCATACCTCTGTATCTAGACAGTTATACTGTATCATACCTCTGTATCTAGACAGTTATACTGTATCATACCCCTGTATCTAGACAGTTATACTGTATCATACCCCTGTATCTAGACAGTTATACTGTATCATACCTCTGTGTCTAGACAGTTGTACCGTATCATACTCCTGTATCTAGCAGTTATATTGTATCATACCTCTGTATCTAGACAGTTATACTGTATCATACCCCTGTATCTAGACAGTTATACTGTATCATACCCCTGTATCTAGACAGTTATACTGTATCATACCCCTACATCTAGACATATAGCCATTCATTTTTTCTCTGATCAATGCTTTTGATTCTCTTTAATATACTATGCTCAATTTCCACAAAACTATAAAGGATACAGCATTTCCAACAGCAATGTGCTATTAATAAATTTCTTACTTCATATGATTGGGGCTGTTTCTTTCCCTGAACTTTTCCTCCACATGTTTCTTGACAAGTCTTTCTATTTCTTCCGGGGTTTGGTCTGGCACAAGGCGGACAGAGAATTTTCCAATTACTTTCCTTGGGATAACTGTCTTAGCTCCAGTGTCACTGAAGGCTCCCTCGATTCCTAAAATAACGATACATACACATGACACTTGATCCCTATCAGTTAACACTCAGTTTTCAAAGACACTTAATTATTCAATAAGGCAATGAAACTTTTGAAAAAGAGTTTGCAATGTAATTATACATCCAGTACTGATTTTTTATATGCTGATAATTTAAAAAAAAAGCTCAAAAAAATCCTTACTAATCAGATATTGACAATAATGATACTATGAAGAGAAAGAAACCTATAAACTGACTTTGGATTGAGAGAGATTGAAGGACAGTCACAGGTACATGTTTTATAATGGACAGACTTAGGAGTATTGACTATGGAATATAAGAGAGAGTACTGAATGAATACAGACAGAAAAGGAACAGAATGAGGATAAAGAAAGTAGGGCGCTGAATGTGGAGAGAGAGAAAGGGGTACTAAACAAATACAGAGAGAGCTGTTATTATGTATAGAGATGTGCAGACCATGGATGGAGAGAAAGAGGGGAACTGATTGTGGATAGAGAGATTTATTGACCATGGATGGAGAGAGAGGGGTACTGAATGTGGATAGACAATTGCACTGACCATGGATGAAGAGAGACGGGTACTGAATGTAAAAAGCGATGTACTGACCATAGATGGAGAGAAGAGGAAAAGAATGCGGAAAGAGATATGTACTGACCATAGATGGAGAGAAAGGGGTTGGGTGGAGAGAGGGGTACTGAATATGAATAGAGAGATGTACTGACCATGGATGGAGAGAAACGGGTACTGAATGTGAATAGAGAGATGAACTGACCATTGATGGAGAGATGTACTGACCATGGATGAAGAGGTGGAGGGGTACTGAATGTGAAAAGAGAGATGTACTGAGTATGGATGGAGAGAGAAGGGTACTGAATATGGATATACAATTGTACTGACCATGGATTGAGAGAAAGGGGTACTGATTATGGAAAGAGAAATTTACTGACCATGCATGGAGAGAGAAAGGTACTGAATGTGAATAGAGATTTACTGAACATAAATGGAGAGAAAGGGGTACTGAATATGGATAGAGAGATGTACTGACCATGGATTGAGAGAGAATGGTAATGAATATGGATAGAGAGATGTACTGACCATGGATGGAGAGAAACGGGTACTGAATGTGAATAGACAATTGTACTGACCATGGATGGAGAGAGAGGGAAACAGAATTTGAATGGAGAGATTAACTGACCATGGATGGAGGGAAAGGGGTACTGAATATGGATAGACAATTGTACTGACCATGGATGGAGAGAGAAGAGTAATGAATATGGATAGAGAGATGTAATGACCATGGATGGAGAGAGAAGGATAATGAATATGGATAGAGAGATGTACTGACCATGGATGGAGAGAGAAGGATACCTCCAACGGTGCATCAGTATGTCTTGTTTGTTGTCATGTATCAGAGCATGACAGCCAGTGTCCTGCTGGTACTCCTCCTGAAATCCAACCAACATTTCAAACAAGTTATTCAACCTAATCATTAAGTTCAACAATAACTATTAATAATTACCTGCAATATATATCAAATTTACAACAAACAAAAATATCAATTTGTGCAATCGTAATTTAGCACATGTACAATATTTGAAACATAAAAAGCACTAAAATAAGATGTCTGCTGAAATATGTTCACAATATGCGACATTTGTATACCCAAGATCAAATTACATATGACATGTTTAAATGATATTCTACACTATATAGCTGTCAGTTAGGTCAGTAAATACAGAGTATCAGAAATCAATGGTCTGCACTTGAATCAGAAAATCACAAAATAATGTTTAATGTGAATGGGATATTTATTTATTCCTATATTTTCACAAATGTGAAGCACAAAAACATAAATGAACTGAAAAGTATGACACACAAGTCTGTAGTGTTAAGCTGATCATGAAAAACCATTAAAGTTTCTGCTGACTGCCAGTGACTCGTCCAATTAGTTCTGTAACTTAATCTTAGCCTAGGTTTTGATAATGACTGTTTTTGTGAAGAAGCTAAAGTGTCTCAATAATAACAATTATTAACATTATGTCAATATTAAAGGCCCAAACATCTTGTGTTTCCAATAACCTACCAACCCTAAATTTGTTTGCCTACCTTAAAGTTTTAATTGGCATTTAGTGATTATGCACTGTTAAAGTCAGAACTCCTGGGCCCGTATTCATGAAACCGTGCTCATGCTCAAGCATGGATTTTGTGCTCAAACCTAATTTCTTGTTCTTGTTTTAACTTTATAAATCAATCTAAATTTGTCAATGATTTGGAAACGTTTTGAGAGACATAATGCAAGATGCTGTTTCCAATGTTAACATTTGACTTTGTGATCGTGTGACATAAGTTAAGCGAGTTTTAAAAAAGATGGTTTGAGCACAGAATCCATGCTTGAGCATGAGAACGGTTTCATGAATACAGGGCCTGCTATATATAGGCAAAGTAAAACTATTTTCCAAAATAAAGAAAATTGCCTACCTAGCTACCTACCCTATGTTTTCTGAGGATGATAGCGGAGACACAAGTAATTCATTTTTTGCCTAATCAGAGCAATGACATCAATTAAAAAAAAAAATCGGTCCAAGAAAATAAAAATAAATAAAAAATAAAATTCAGGAAAGATTCATATGAACTTAAAGAATAAATATTGATACACGTTATCTTATTAGCAGTTGATTAGAAAAACCTGAAGGATAATGCTCCGTGCCAAATGTTCACACATCCCTTACAAGACATAGTGACTAGATCAACCAGCGGTAGTACCGGCCGTTGATGAACAGCTTTCTGAAAGATGTTAAAAATAAAAACTTCCTCTTGGCTAATATTTACCGGTGAGAAGTCAATGGGGTCATATTTCTGGCGTTCCTCCTCAGTAAGTTCGGCTACAGAATCGCCGATTCCTGGGATGAGGATGTTGCCTTTACTGTCTACCAATGTGCCGAGGACACCCACCAGATCCACCATAGCCTCGTGTCTGAAGAACAGAAAATCACACACTGAAAACACAAGTCAAACCTCTTCTGGTGTTTGTCAGCCTAAACCAATGACTCCAGATAAAAGGCAATGTCTTATCCAAAATGCAACTACATCAGCTATTGTAGTTCTTCATTAGAAATCAAACCTTGACCTATTTTATTACCATTATGCTTATTAGGCATGACAAGAACAATACACTGAAACTTCTCAGAAATGTTTTGACTTTGTTAAGTTACATCTGTTATGTAGCGTTTTTGACTTTGTTAAGTTACATCTGTTATGTAGAGTTTTTGACTTTGTTAAGTAACATCTGTTATGTAGAGTTTTTGACTTTGTTAAGTTACATCTGTTACATAGCGTTTTTGACTTTGTTAAGTTACATCTGTTACGTAGAGTTTTTGACTTTGTTAAGTTACATCTGTTATGTAGCAGTTTTGACTTTGTTAAGTTACATCTGTTACGTAGAGTTTTTGACTTAAAGTTAAGTTACATCTGTTATGTAGCGTTTTTGACTTTGTTAAGTTACATCTGTTACGTAGCGTTTTTGACTTTGTTAAGTTACATCTGTTACGTAGAGTTTTTGACTTTGTTAAGTTACATCTGTTATGTAGAGTTTTTGACTTTGTTAAGTTACATCTGTTACGTAGCGTTTTTGACTTTGTTAAGTTACATCTGTTATGTAGCGTTTTTGACTTTGTTAAGTTACATCTGTTCAAAGAGTTTTTGACTTTGTTAAGACACATTTGTTATGTAGTGTAGGTGGCAACTGCCACTATAATATGGAGAGTTACAAAACCGCAAAACATATTCTTTTATATTGTAAGTCCAGTGATTGTTGTATTACCTGATGGTGTCTATACATTGTATGTACAGTCATTGTTTCATATATATTCTTTATAATCAGGTACAAACATTTCAATGCCCTAGATTTAGCATGTTTTTTGTCTGGTTACCCCTTCTCCACAGTATACATTATATCCTTAATTCTCAACAGTATAACGTATACCCCTTCCCCATAGTATACAGAATACCACTTCTCCACAGTATACAGTATACCACTTCTCCACAGTATACAGTATACCACTTCTCCACAGTATACAGTTTACCCCTTCTCCACAGTATACAGTATACCACTTCTCCACAGTATACAGTATACCCCTTCTCCACAGTATACAGTATACCCCTTATCCACAGTATACAGTATACCCCTTCTCCACAGTAAACAGTATACCCCTTCTCCACAGTAAACAGTATGTCCCTTCTCCACAGTAGACAGTATGCCCCTTCTCCACAGTATACCGTATCCCCCTTCTCCACAGTATACGGTATACAACTTCTCCACAGTATACAGTATAACCCTTTACCACAGTATACCCCTTCTCCAAAGTATACAGTATACCCCTTCTCTACAGTATACAGTATACCCCCTCTCCACAGTATACAGTATAACCCTTTTCCACAGAATACCCCTTCTCCACAGTAGACAGTATCCCCCTTCTCCACAGTATACATTATGCCTCTTCTCCACAGTATACAGTATTCCCATTCACCAAAGTATACAGTATAACCCTTTTCCACAGTATACCCGTTCTCCACAGTAAACAGAATAACCCTTCTCCACAGCGGACAGTATACGCCTTCTCCACAGTATACAGTATATCACTTCTACACAGTATACAGTATACCCATTCTCCAAAGAATACAGTATAACCCTTTTCCACAGTATACCCCTTCTCCACAGTAAACAGAATAACCCTTCTCCACAGTAGACAGTATACCCCTTCTCCACAGTATACAATATACCACTTTTCCACAGTATACCACTTCTTCACAGTATACAGTATACCCATTCTCCACAGTATATAGTATACCACTTCTCCACAGTATACAGTATACCACTTTTCCACAGTATACAGTATACCACTTCTCCACAGTATACCCCTTCTCCACAGTATACAGTATACCCCTTCTCCACAGTATACAGTATACCACTTCTCCACAGAATACAGTATACCCCTTCTCCACAGTATACCCCTTCTCCACAGTATACAGTATACCACTTTCCACAGTATACAGTATACCACTTCTCCACAGTATACAGTATACCCCTTCTCCACAGTATACAGTGTACCACTTCTCCACAGTATACAGTATACACCTTCTCCACAGTATACCACTTTTCCACAGTATACAGTATACCCCTTCTCTACAGTATACAGTATACCCCTTCTCCACAGTATACAGTATACCACTTTTCCACAGTATACAGTATTCCACTTCTCCACAGTATCCCCCTTCTCCACAGTATACAGTATACACGTTCTCCACAGTATACCACTTTTCTACAGTATACAGTATACTCCTTCTCCACAGTAGACAGTATACCACCTTTCCACAGTATACAGTATACGACTTCTCCACAGTATACCCCTTCCCCACAGTATATAGTATACCACTTCTCCACAGTGTACCCCTTCTCCACAGTATACAGTGTACCTCTTCTCCACAGTATACAGTATCCCACTTTCCACAGTATACAGTATACGACTTTTCCACAGTATACAGTATACCACTCCTCCACAGTATACAGTATACCACTTCTCCACAGTATACCACTTCTCAACAGTATACAGTATACCCCTTCTCCACAGTAGACAGTATACCACTTTTCCACAGTATACAGTATACCACTTTTCCACAGTATACCCCTTCTCCACAGTATACAGTATACCCCTTCTCCACAGTAGACAGTATACCCCTTCTCTACAGTATACAGTATACCACTTCTCCACAGTATACCACTTCTCCACAGTATACAGTATACCACTTCTCCACAGTATACATTATACCCCTTCCCCACAGTATACAGTATACCACTTCTCCACAGTATACAGTATACCACTTCTCCACAGTATACAGTATACCCCTTCTCCACAGTATACCCCTTCTCAACAGAATACAGTATACCCCTTCTCCACAGTATCCATTATACCCCTTCCCCACAGTATACACTATACCACTTCTCCACAGTATACAGTATACCACTTCTCCACAGTATACCCCTTCTCAACAGTATACAGTATACCCCTTCTCCACAGTATACAGTATACCCCTTCTCCACAGTATACAGTATACCACTTCTCCACAGTATACAGTATACCCCTTATCCACAGTATACCCCTTCTCCACAGTATACAGTATACCCCTTCTCCACAGTATACAGTATACCCCTTCTCCACAGTATACAGTATACCCCTTCTCCACAGTATACAGTATACCCCTTCTCCACAGTATACAGTATACCACTTCTCCACAAAGTATGAAGCCAAAGTCACTTACACAGTACCACCATACAATCCAGAGTGAAGATCTTTGTTGGAACAATCTATCTCCAGGAAAAAGTAGCAAATTCCTCTGTAGAATATAAACATAAATCATGTTGAAATGAGAAGGAAATTAATGTTCAGCTCATCCAGACAAATAGGACAAAACACAGAACATCAATCACTCAGGAAAGAAACTCTAAAAATATTACTTCTAGGACGAAATGCTCATAAAATCGTTTACACAGTGTTTTGCAGTAATATTTACTGTTTTTACCTTATTGTTAAAAAAAATGTTAACAAAAATAGTGTGATACTAATTCAGTATTGTTAGTACTAACCTCAAGCCGTATGTTACACACGGCTTTGTCTTCCCAAGCCAGTAATTGTCTGATATACACACATAGTCCACATCCTGAAAGAATGAACACACAGAAAATCAATGCTGTCGAAATATACATGCATAATGTCAGTTCTGTTGGAATATAAACACAGAATATCAATGCTTTCTTGTGGAACTTTCTAACCATGAGTTGGTTGGTTTCAACTGACCATGATATCCATACCATTATATGACCTTTGAACTTAAAAATGTGTCATTACTGACCTTTATGAACTTGACCATATACATACTTCGGCATTTAGAAATATATTTACTGACCTTCAAGAAATTGAACATGGTACATTAGCTATATATGGGAATGCGTTCTTTCCTGGCTGTCATGAAACTGAAAATGTACATAAGCCCTTAGGAATTACGACCTTAACTGACCTTCAGGAAGGTATCCTTGCTGCTGTTGACCAAATCGTCCAGTCCATCAGACCCGCACTCTTCCATCCCCTCAAACATAAACTGTAAGGCACAACAAATAATAATACTGTTATAATAAAGGTCAAACAGTTACACTGTTAAATCAGGTCACAAAACTCCACTGTTAAGTAAGTCAGAAAATTACACTGGTTATAAGGTAAGACAGAAAATTACGTCGCTAAAATAGGTCAATTACACTGTAGAAGTAGGTCACACATTTCAGTCTCAATGTGATGTGTTACTTTACTTTTGCTCACAACCACTGTAGGCTTATTCACTCTCGACTCATTTGAAGACCTGCTAGGAGTTGGTAAACAGTTTTAATTACGCTGGGTAAAACCCTGGATGTTATCTTATTGGTCAATACACGTATATTTGAATTATGACCTCATCTAACAATGCTTTGTGCTATCCTCTTCATCTGTGACCTCTTGATTCATTGCAATAACTTCCTCAACCAGAAACAGAAACGATACATTTCCAAGTGAAACAAAATTATGCTTTACATGATTTGATAGGATCATTTTGTGAGAAAAAGGTCCCCGGTTATCATGTTTATCTAGTTCTCATCAGTTAATTTTCAAACTTGGCTAACACACTTTGTTGTTTACCTTGAGGTTGACTGGGCTAACACACCTTATCGTTTACCTTGAGGTTGACTTGGCTAACACACTTTGTTGTTTACCTTGAGGTTAACTGGGCAAACACCTTATCATTTACCTTGAGGTTGACTTGGCTAACACACTTTGTTGTTTACCTAGAGGTTGACTAGGCTAACACACTTTATCATTTACCTTGAGGTTGACATGGCTAACACACTTTGCTGTTTACCTTGAGGTTGACTGGGCTAACACTCCTTATCGTTTACCTTGAGGTTGACTTGGCTAACACACTTTGGTGTTTACCTAGAGGTTGACTTGGCTAACACCTTATCGTTTACCTTGAGGTAAACTGGGCCAACACACTATATCATTTACCTTGAGGTTGACTGGGCTAACACACTTTGTTGTTTACCTAGAGGGTGACTTGGCTAACACACCTTATCGTTTACCTTTAGGTTGACATGGCTAACACACTTTGTTGTTTACCTAGAGGTTGACTAGGCTAACACACTTTATCGTTTACCTTGAGGTTGACATGGCTAACACACTTTGTTGTTTACCTAGAGGTTGACTTGGCTAACACCTTATCGTTTACCTTGAGGTAAACTGGGCCAACACACTGTGTCATTTACCTTGAGGTTGACTGGGCTAACACACTTTGTTGTTTACCTAGAGGTTGACTTGGCTAACACTGGGCTAACACACTTTGTTGTTTACCTTGAGGTTGACTTGGCTAACACCTTATGGTTTACCTTGAGGTTAACTGGGCCAACACACTGTGTCACTTACCTAGAGGTTGACTGGGCTAACATGCTTTGTTGTTTACCTTCAGGTTGACTGGGGTAACACACTTTGGTGTTTACCTAGAGGTTGACTTGGCTAACACACCTTATCGTTTACCTTGAGGTAAACTGGGCCAACACACTATATCATTTACCTTGAGGTTGACTGGGTTAACACACTTTGTTGTTTACCTAGAGGTTGACTTGGCTAACACCTTATTGTTTACCTTGAGGTTAACTGGGCCAACACACTGTGTCATTTACCTAGAGGTTGACTGGGCTAACATACTTTGTTGTTTACCTTCAGGTTGACTGGGCTAACACACTTTGTTGTTTACCTAGAGGTTGACTTGGCTAACACTGGGCTAACACACTTTGTTGTTTACCTAGAGGTTGACTTGGCTAACACTGGGCTAACACACTTTGTTGTTTACCTAGAGGTTAACTGGGCTAACACACCTTATCGTTTACCTTGAGGTTGACTGAGCTAACACACTTTGTTGTTTACCTAGAGGTTGACTGGGCTAACACACTTTGTTGTTTATCTAGAGGCTGACTGGGCTAACACCTTATCGTTTACCTTGAGGTTGACTGGGCTAACACACTTTGTTGTTTACCTTGAGGCTGACTTGGCTAACACACTTTGTTGTTTACCTTGAGGTTGACTGGGCTAACACACAGTGTCATTTACCTTGAGGCTGACTTGATTAACACACTTTGTTGTTTACCTAGAGGTTGACTTGGCTAACACACTTTGTTGTTTACCTTGAGGCTGACTTGGCTAACACCTTATCGTTTACCTTGAGGCTGACTTGGCTAACACACTTTGTTGTTTACCTAGAGGTTGACTGGGCTAACACCTTATCATTTACGTTGAGGCTGACTTGGCTAACACACTTTGTTGTTTACCTTAAGGTTAACTGGGCTAACACCTTATAATTTACCTTGAGGCTGACTTGGCTAACACACTTTGTTGTTTACCTTGAGGTTAACTGGGACAGGCATTTTGTTTTCCTTCATTGCTTCCAGACAGTTAATCCATGCCAGTACTGGGCCCTGAAACAACATCACAATGGGTCACTTCACAGAACAGACATTTCTTCTGAAATAACTGCCAGCCCTACCATCTTGTATTTGTTCTCTTTCTTTGTAGATACATACAGAATCAAAGATAAACAAGATACCAAGTTTTAATGATAAAAAAGGAACTTTTCTATACCCTTATTGGTTTTTAATTCTAAACTTTATTGGAGAAAAAGAATTTAGCTTTAAATCTGACAGTTTTGAAAGCAATACACACATCTTATACCCATCTTGTGGGTTAATGCACTGGTATTGTGTTAGAGGCTTCACTGTAAGAAATTCGGCTATTAACCCTTTCACCACTGTAAACCATAATGGACCCATCCAGATCAATGCATGGTCGAGTCTACTAAAGTTACATGGGAGTGAAAGGGTTTGAAATATATGATCCAGACTCCAATATATTTGTATTTGTAGTATAAAGGGCAGAACTGTGTATTAATACACAGATGTGAGTACCACTACAGTTGAAGCATGCCGTCACTACCTTATTAACTCATTTACCCCTGAAGATGCATTTGAATTCTTCCAATTCAACAATTCCAATTTATGATCTACAGTGGTGAATTGGTAGAATTCAAATGTTGGAAAAGCTCCTTATGAAATTTCAGGGGTGAATGAGTTAATGAATGGATGATCAATATGTTAATGAGATATCAAAACTCATCGAAGGTATGTTTGCATTCACAGCATGGTGGAGAGAGTTATCTACCTTGTCGTCTGTTGAACCCCTGCCGTAGATCTTGCCATCCTTCAGTATGGCCTTGAATGGATCGTCTTGGTCCCAGCCGTCCTCCTGTAAAACAATGACCAGTATAAGGTTTACTGTACAGTAAACACATGTAAAACACGGCCAATGACTTGATGTTCTAAGCCTTGTCAGATTAAAATATATCTAGCTGACTCACAACGAATACTGTATGTTTCCCTTGTGCTTATTTCTTTTTTCTTTACAAAACAAGGTGAATGCAATAAAATGAGTTAAGAAAAGTGAAATAGGTTGGACATCTCATGATCAAAAACTGTTAAAACCAAATGACACTTGGGTCAAACTCTTAACGTTTGCAATAAAGGATGTTTACAATATTCAAAATGTATTTTATATGTCCGGGGTACACCTGATCGCTGTGACTCTGAAATCAGGAAAACATATGAAACTATGACCTTTGATCATTTTATTGACCTCTAACTACCTTCCGAGCTGGTTGTACATCCAGATGTCCATACACAAGCAGGGTCTTCTTGGAGGGGTCCTTGCCAAGTACACCTTGCAGGACAGGAGGAAGTGGAATTTTGCTACCTCCACCAAGGTCTTGGTCTCCAAGCTCCTTAAGCTCAGTCTCTGCACCGAGATCATCCATCAGCTGCAGTCACAGGGTCAAAATATGTTAAGGGCCTTCAATTATTTATCGATCTGATATACAAAGCGCAAATCAGGATCAATCCATTCTGATCATTCTGATAAAATTGTTGAACAAAATATCTTTCATTACATATTCTTGATTTTACCAAAACTGTTTTTCTTAAACTTCTGACAAAAAATCACCTCAGTAAATACTATAGTACATGTACAAGGTTTTTCTATCCTGTTTACAGGAATTCCTGATGTTACAAAGGATGTTTGCAGCATTTATCATGTCATACTACACTGTGGTTAAAAAAATAAAAAATAAAAAAAATATTACTTTTGAGTATGTTTCAAAATGAGAAAAGCAGTAAAATTCCTGTATATAATCACTTGGGGAACCGTACTGACCTTTTGTGTCCATTTAACCATTGTCGTGATGTCTCCACGGGTTTCCGGCCATGCCGACACACTTTTGATGGCCACTGCATCTTTCAGCCGTTGGATGTAGGCCTCCTTCTTACTATCTATGTACCTGCAGCATCAAACAGAATTCTTAGTTTGTCACTTTTTACATTCATGTAACTGGTGGTATGTGTTCGTTGCATTATGATTAATTTGGTCACATTCCTGCTTGTGATGTAGTCTATTCTAGTACTGTAATTTCCATAATCAACACTCTCCTCCTATAATCACTCTTCCCCTTTACTTGGAAAATTGAACTGGCTTTTTTTCATGCAAAATAAACACACTCAAATAACATACATAACATAAAGATTTATAATTTTTATATTTGTTGTCGTGTTAGTTATGTTCCATGGTGGTATGCAGGTTATTTAAGTCACAAAACTAATTTCAGTAAAATACGAAGAGTATAGATTATCGAGCCCTGTCATAAGCAGGCTGCACAACTACCTTACACAATGGACTGATGGAGCAACTATATAATTATAAGCATCAGAAAACACCAAAATTTAGCAAACAGCTTCATCAAATGCCAAAATATGCTTGTAGTATGGTATTGTGTTGTGATTTGGTAACTTTCTGTTTGTTTTTTAATCATATTATGTAGTATTTTAGTCACTAATTGTGAAGTCACTTTCTGTTTGTTATTAAGTCACTTCTCATGTGTACATAAACAGTAGTTGTATTATTGTCATGGTTACAAAGCATGTTGAAAGATAACTAGAATGAACTCATTCACCCCTGAAGACACATTTTGGACTCTTTCAATTCAAAGGTTAGAATAGTTCATTATGAAATTTCAGGAGTGAATGAGTTTAGAAACAAGGAATATAATGTTTCTACATTTCCAAAGACAAACATGTTACTGGAGAGACAGAACTCAGTATCCATGGCACCTCAAACGACAGCATTCAAAAATCTCAGGGCATCCCATGAATGAGCATTCTCGTTACTCCAGGGATTGCGCTCACTTTCGCTCTCTACACCCCTGGAATATATCATCGAGCAATATTGAAGGCTCAGTGTGTGCTACCTTGTGAATAAGACAAGAAGACTAGTTTGATCCTTGGATGCAAATTAAAAGAATCTCATGGTCTTGTAATGGTACAATTCACTGCCTTTGAAGTTGAGTGTCGCTCCTCTGTAATCTTCAGAACAGCTATCAGCATAGCGATTGTTTGAGTATATTTTCCCCGAGACCAATCAAATTGCCAGCAGTGTGCCTTCAATTCTGGCATTTTATTCCAGGGGTTCAGACAATGAGGATGACACATGACATGGCAAAGCCACCCAACAAAAAACTTATATATAACCTATAATATGCTTTAAATTAGACAGTTTATTTTTTTAATCATAGTATAGGTTTTTATATATATTGTAATTAGCAGAATTTCAGACTGTGATTCAGCCACTTCCCTGAAATCTAGCCTATGATTCATTTGTCTACCAAAATGACTTTAGTTCTGAACATGACCACTACCTGTTATTTGCATGTCTAACCCAACCCATGTCTAGTAATGTTAAGTGTTCTTAGAAAAGCCTGGAATCTAGGGCTATATATAGTGACACCTCATTTCCAAATGTTGATTCGAAAAAAGGAAAATAAAACCACAGAATTAGATTATCTATCAATGTCCTTGGTAAAACAAATTATTATTACTTGTAAAAAAGATGGAGTTTGTAAATACATACTGACCTATGAAATTTCATGACAATCAGTTACGAAATGAAATTTGTAAAGCAATGAAATTGACAAGGTTACATAAAGACATACTGGCTGATTCCTATGTACTTGTGATGACTTGTCATGAGTATAAAAATAAATGCATCCCACCAGAAATACTTTTTTTTATGTTGGTAATATATCGTGCTATCAATGAAAGCATGCAATAAATGATAGCAATGAGTTGGCATTTGTAAGATCTAACTTTCTAAAGCCAAGTTGGTAAATGCTAATAATTTTGCTGGTGTCGACTATTGAGATAGTTGCTCAGAACATGACAATATATACAACGTCCATTTTGAGATGCATGCATCAATGATACAATCTAACCTATTCCACTTTGGTAAATGTTACTCGCTGTACAATAAAACCTTACAAAAACTAAATATTATAAACCAACCANATGTGTACGAGGCAGAGCAAGTTCTGTGTATCATGAACATTTTCAAATGACTGTTTACTTTATAAGCAATCTTATTTCTCTGGAGCGTAAATTAAACAATAAGATGAACAAAGTACAAGAATGAGTCACACATATGTGATATCCTTTCTGTGGTATGAATTACCCATACTAACATCTAATTATGTCGAGGGATCTTGTGTGTTTCCATAGGCAAACTGGTAACAATATTTTTGCTATTAAAAAAGTCCCTTAAGGGACCAAAGTTCTGTGTTGGTTGGTTGTACAGGGTTTTATGTCCTATCAACAGCTAAGGTCTTTTAAGGGTGGGCCTCCATGTGTGCAGTGTATGCATGCATATGTGTACGAGGCAGAGCAAGTTCTGTGTATCATGAACATTTTCAAATGACTGTTTACTTTATAAGCAATCTTATTTCTCTGGAGCGTAAATTAAACAATAAGATGAACAAAGTACAAGAATGAGTCACACATATGTGATATCCTTTCTGTGGTATGAATTGCCCATACTAACATCTAATTATGTCGAGGGATCTTGTGTGTTTCCATAGGCAAACTGGTAACATAGTTACAGAGAATATCTAACTTAGTGGAAGACAAACAAGCTCTACTCTTTCCCTGTAACTTTACAATTTATCGCCAAGTTTGCTGATCTCCTATGAGTTTCCTATGATTCACACACCTGGTACATCTACTACAATCACTTCAATTCTGAACAGGACCACTACCTGTGATAACATGTCTAATCCCATGTCTAGTATCGTTAAGTGTTCTTAAAAAAGCCAGGAATCTAGGGCTATATATAGAGACACCTCATTTCAATATTTTGATTTGAAAAAAAAAAAAAGTATAGAGACACCTCATTTCAATATTTTGATTTGAAAAAAAAAAAGTATCACTAATTATTATTATTTGTACAAGTTTAACATCTACGCTACAGTGATTTTCCTAGACCCTCATTCACCATACAATCATTAGTTAATAGTTACATCAAATTACAACCAGTAAGTCAAACATACAAAGGCTGTCAGATTGCTGCTGTGCAAGAACTCCAGATCTAGATAGAAAACTTGACTTGAGCTATGATTTCTTCGAAATGAGTAGATGTTTTTTTCTTTGAAATCTGTAGTAAATATATGTATGCCTATATATGATAAAAAAGGATTAGATGTCCATGTGAAGGAAGTAAGAAGGAAGAAAAAATAAGATTAACAACCGACTAAAAAACTAGCTGCTTTCACCCTTCACAGGGCTATTCATGTTTATGTACATGTATATGTTTATATATGGGGCAAAGAAGTAATTCCAACAGTGTGGACAAGTTTAGGTTAAGTTTATGTGTATATATATATCATAAATTACATAAATCATAAATGAGAATTAAGGCATAAAATGATATCTTTCAAACATTTGGGTAAATACTTGTTGCATAAAAGATATTAGGAGTTTAGATGTCATCACATCATCACCCAACATCATCAACAATTGTTTATGTAAACCTGTAAAGCGTACTCATTAGAAATCCTGACATAGTTGAGTAGCTATGTCAAGCATAGGAGTTCCAAGTCTGAAATTCTGTAAATAATAATAACAAGAGGCCCATGGGCCTTAACGGTCACCTGAGTCCTACAGTATTTATTTTTGTTGTTGAAATATGTACCAATTTGAGTACAAAATAGTTAAGAATATGGTTAACTTAACTTTGTCAGGACCATGAGCTGATCATTCCTAGACCGATTTTCAGTGAGATCGGCCTATTAGAACTTGTTTTTAAGTTTGAAATAGGTATTTACAAAATAGCGGTCATGGCAGCCAAATTGTATTTCTGATTGACCCAAAAAATAACAACACTTTGTCAGGACCATGATTCGATCATTCCTATCAAAGTTTCAGTTTAATCAGCCAAGTAGAACTTTACTTTA